GATCGAATGGAGATCGCTCCATTCAGAGAACACGCATTTTAAACGTTTTTCGCCTGCCGTCTTGTCTGCACACTTGTCAAATCATGGTTTTTACTAACCGTTGTCAGTATGTAGTTACTTCGGCATCATTTTGAAACGTGTATTACAATTAAATCACGGTCAAATAGGTTAATTTTGTCGTAGTTGGTTTCCACCACAGTATTTACATGGATATAAGCCCCGCCCCCTCTCCAGCACGTCCTGTTTGAATGACAGGAGTAAACACAGCTGACAGCCGCGGTGAAACTCCAGCGGTTAGAGCGATGAGAATATTCGCATCGCGTCCGTTGTGAACGCAGCATAATGCAGTTCAGAAACCACTGTTCTGACGCTTTTAAAGTAACTTTGAAATTGCTGCAAAGATCCACTACTGAGGACGAACAACAAGAAGAAGAGAGTTGTGTGGGCCAAGAAACACAAGGACTGGACATTAGACCAGTGGAAATCTGTACTTCGAATTTGCTTCGAGATTTGTCTTGGCAGATGAGAAGCGCTATATAAATTAAATGTATTATTAATTTATTATTACTTTGGTCTGATGAGTCCAAATTAGAGATTTTTGGTTCCAACCTCCGTGTCTTTGTGAGACGCAGAGAAGGTGAGCGGATGGTTTCTGCATGAGTGGTTCCCACTGTGAAGCATGGAGGAGGAGGTGAGATGGTGGTGGGGGGGGGGGGGGGGACGGGCTATATATATATATACACATATCTATATATATATATATATGTATATATATATATATATATATACAGTGCAATAATTCTTTCATGCTAAATGAAGCTCTGTTGCTTGGATATCACTAGATCCTGTTACAGCGTAATATAAAAGTACATAACGATTGATGTGTAAATTAGCATAATTACTAGCTAACCGCTAGCTGCTAACTGCCGCCTCGTTAATATCAAATCTATCATAATAACAAACCATTACCATGCTGTCATGAACGTGCGGTGCTGTTAGGTGTACGCAAATTGACGTGCTTGATGTGAACGAGCATTTTGGGGGGCATGTTTAAAGTTGCGCATGCGCTATGAGCGCACATACGGGTACTTCTCAGGCATGCCGGGTAATCTGTGACGTTTCGCTCTCTCAAAAGTTGGGCCATTTTATCATCATGCGCGAATGAGCAACTCTCATAGGAATGAATGAGGCCCCGCCTCCCACGCTGTATCCAGTTCTTATTATACATCCATGAGTAAAACCAGTTAAATCTACTCCTATGTTGTGGACATACAATTATTGATCACAAGATACAACATATTATTGGCGACGAGGATTAAGAAGAGGATTAAGACAAGGATCAATACGGGATCAAAGAGGACATGCCGAACGGACTGGTTAGCACCTTACATGCAGGTTTGGGTCGTTAGCGGCAGCTAGATCAAATTATTAGCAAAGTCTGCGGGTGGAGGAGAGGATTCATTGACACACAATGGCAATGATTGGCACGCTGGCACCTTTTGATGTAAAAAATCAGAAGTGGGAAGAATACTGTGAGGTATTGGAACAGTTTTTTGAGGCTAATGAAATTGAAAATGGAGACAGACAAAGAGCCATATTAATAAGTGTTGTGGGATCATCAACATACAGCCTTATGAAAAACCTCCTCAGTCCGGATAAGCCCAAGGATAAGACTTACACACAACTTGTGGAGCTGCTAAAAAATCACTTTGACCCAAAGCCTAGTGAAATTGTGCAAAGGTACAAGTTTGACTCCCGCAACCGTGAGCCCAATGAGTCAGTAATGGAATACGTGGCTGAGCTGCGTCGGTTAGCGCAGGATTGCAACTATGGTAACACTTTGCAGCAGAGGTTGAGAGACAGGATCGTCTGTGGAATACATGAAGATCGGATTCAGAGACGACTCTTATCAGAAGCGGATTTAACATTTGAAACAGCATTATCAATTGCTGTGGCGTCAGAGACTGCAAATAAAAATGCACAGGAGATACAAAGCCAAGGGGCCACAGCTAAATGCTTCAAAATGGATAAAAAGCCACAGGAGGCTTATGCACACAGAGAACCTACCAAAGAGTGTTACAGATGCAAGGGAACCCAGCATGAAGCAGCAGACTGTAAGTTTAAACAAGAGACATGTCATGCATGTGGTAAAATAGGACACATTGCCAGAGCTTGTCGTAGTAGATCTACACAGAATGGAAACAGCAACAAAAATGCAGACCCAAAGAGAGAAAGGAGGCAAACCACATATCACCGTTCTCATAAAGTACAAGAGCAACGGAGCCAAAGTGATAGCTCAGAAGAAGATACATTCTTACTGAATAAGATGAGGTTCAGATTGGGACGCATGAGTGAAGTGCACCTGAGACGAGTAGACCCATACATGGTTGAAGTGAAGCTGGATAGTAAGTTTGTTAACTTTGAGATAGACACTGGCTGTAGTCTCACAATAATGAATGAACAGACATTTCAAAGACTATGGAAAGACACAAAAAGTCCATGTTTGAGACCAACCAAAATCCACATCGAGTCTTATACAGGTGACCCTGTTAATGTGGTCGGAGCTGCCCTTGTTAAAGTGAAATACAAACATCAAAGGCGGTACTTGCCCCTCATTGTGGTTAAAGGGGACGGCCCCAGCCTGCTGGGAAGAGGCTGGCTGGAGGAAATACATCTGAGTTGGAAAAAAATCAAGCTCAGACACAAATCAGACCGATTACAAGAACAAGACCGATTACAAGAACAAGACCGATTACAAGAACAGTACAACGATGGAGCGAGGAGTCAGATGAGGCACTGCAGGATTGCTTTGCATCCACGGATTGGAGTGTGTTTGAGGACAATAACATCAACATACACACGGACACTGTCATCTGCTACATTGGGAAATGCATCGATGACGTGGTACCGAAGGTTTCTGTACGGACATTCCCAAATCAAAAGCCATGGGTAAACTCCGATGTGCGCTGCAAGCTGAGAGCGCGCACTATCGCGCACACAGCGGGAGATTTGGAGGAGTACAGGAAGTCTAGGTATGATCTCCGGAGAGCAATTAAAAATGCTAAGAGACAGTACAAAGAAAAGGTGGAATCTGACTTCAAAGGCTGTAACACTAGGAATATGTGGGCGGGACTAAGGACAATGACTGACTACAAAGGAGCAGCGGGGGGTGCTGCGGGAGTGTCTGCGTGCGCATCTCTCCCAGATGAGCTGAATAGTTTTTTTGCACGCTTTGAGAGCAGCCGGGCTGTGGAGGTACAGAGGGACCAGGAGCTACACTGCCCTTTTGTTTTAAATAGGGCAGATGTGTGTAAATCCTTTAAAAGGGTTAACCCACACAAGGCTCCTGGACCTGATGGCATCCCTGGCCGTGTTCTCAGGGTGTGTGCAGTTCAGCTGGCAGAGGTGTTCACAGACATCATCAACAGGTCCCTGTTGCAGTCTGTAGTCCCCACATGCTTCAAACATTCCACTATCGTTCCTGTCCCGAAAAAGACAATAATCACCTGCCCCAACGACTACCGCCCAGTAGCACTCACCTCCATCATAATGAAGTGCTTTGAGCGGTTAGTCAAATCATTCATCACCTCCTCCCTCCCTGAATCTCTGGACCCCCTGCAGTTTGCCTACAGAGCAAACAGGTCCACAGACGACGCCATAGCCCTCACCCTCCACACTGCCCTCTCACACCTGGACCCGAAGAACAGGAACACATATGTGAGAATGCTGTTCATTGACTACAGTTCAGCATTCAATACCATTGTGCCCTCCAAGCTGGCCATCAAGCTCAGAGATCTCGGGCTCAACAGCGCCCTCTGTGACTGGATCCTGAACTTCCTGACGGGCAGACCCCAGGCAGTGCGGGTGGGAAACATCACATCCTCCACCCTGATTCTAAACACCGGTGCCCCTCAAGGCTGCGTGCTCAGCCCTCTCCTCTACTCCCTGTTCACCCACGACTGCGTGGCCACACACAGCTCCAACACCATCGTGAAGTTTGCTGATGACACGACCGTCATCGGCCAGATCACAGACGATGACGAGACGGCGTACAGAGAGGAGGTCGAAAACCTGACATCTTGGTGCCAGGATAACAACCTCCATCTCAACATCAGCAAAACCAAGGAGCTGATTGTGGATTACAGGAAGCAGCAGGGAGAGGGACACGCCCCCATCGCCATCAATGGGACTACGGTGGAGAGAGTCAAAAGCTTCAGGTTCCTTGGGGTCCACATCACTGAGGACCTGACATGGTCTCTTCACACCACCACCATCACCAAGAAAGCTCGACAGCGGCTCTTCTTCCTCCGCAGGTTGAGGAGGTTCAAAATGGATTCCAGGATACTCTGCAACTTCTACAGGTGCACGATAGAGAGTATCCTGACTGGCAGCATGACGGCCTGGTACGGCAGCTGCACCGACCTCGATCGTAAGGCTTTACAGAGGGTGGTGAAAACTGCACAGCACATCACCAGGACGGAGCTGCCATCCATGGAGGACCTTTACTCCCAGCGGCTCAGGAAGAAATCACTACGGATTATCAAAGACCCCCATCACCCCAGCCACAAACTGTTTTTTCTGTTGCCGTCTGGCAGACGTTACCGCAGCATCCTGGCAAGGACAAGAAGATTCAGAGACAGTTTCTTCCCGCGGGCAGTGAGACTGTTAAAAAATTGAACTGTTGAAACAACATCAAACATTCATCTACTCAGTATTATGTATCTAATACCTAATATATATATATCATTCCAATAACTTGTATATAGACTCGTACTGCACTATTCCACATCATAACTTTATTTCATTTTTATAACTATTATTATTTTTGTATTGCTCATGCTCTTATTGTTATTATGTTATTATGTTGCATTGTTGGAGAAGCCTGTGACATAAGATTTTCAACTGCATAATTACTCTGTAGCTATGTCAGATTGACAATAAAGAACCTTGATAAAGAACCTTGAACAACTTTATTTTCTTGACATTAATAAAACAGCATGGATCAGAGATCAATAAAGCGGAATGTTTGCCTTTCTAATACTCCTCTCCTTCCTCATCCTCATCTCCCAGGCTATCAGCTCCAACCTCCTCGTAATCTTTCTCCAGAGCGGCCATGTCCTCTCTGGCCTCAGAGAACTCTCCCTCCTCCATACCCTCACCCACATACCAGTGCACAAAGGCACGCTTAGCGTACATCAGATCAAACTTGTGGTCCAGCCGAGCCCAGGCCTCTGCAATAGCAGTGGTGTTGCTCAGCATGCACACAGCCCTCTGGACCTTGGCCAGGTCTCCACCAGGAACTACAGTGGGCGGCTGGTAGTTGATGCCCACCTTGAAACCAGTGGGGCACCAGTCCACAAACTGGATGGAGCGCTTGGTTTTGATGGTGGCAATGGCAGCGTTCACGTCTTTGGGAACGACATCACCACGATACAAAAGGCAGCAGGCCATGTATTTACCGTGGCGTGGGTCGCATTTCACCAACTGATTGGCTGGCTCGAAGCAGGAATTAGTGATTTCTGCCAATGAGAGCTGCTCATGGTAAGCTTTCTCTGCAGAAATAACAGGGGCATAGGTGGCCAGAGGGAAGTGGATACGGGGGTAGGGCACCAAGTTGGTCTGGAACTCTGTCAGATCAACATTGAGGGCACCATCAAAACGAAGGGAGGCAGTGATGGAGGACACAAGTTGACTCATCAACCTGTTCAGGTTTGTGTAAGAGGGACGCTCGATATCAAGGTTTCTACGGCAGATATCATAAATAGCCTCATTATCAACCATGAAGGCACAGTCAGAGTGCTCCAGGGTGGTGTGGGTGGTCAGGATGGCGTTGTAGGGCTCCACCACAGTGGTGGACACCTGGGGAGCTGGGTAGACGGAGAACTCCAGTTTGGACTTCTTGCCGTAGTCGACGGACAGACGCTCCATCAGCAGGGAGGTGAAACCAGAGCCGGTGCCCCCTCCGAAGCTGTGGAACACCAGGAAACCCTGAAGACCGGTGCACTGGTCCGACTGAAAGAAAAAGAGAAAATCATGAAATAATAATAATAAATGTATTTATATAATACAAAGACAGCAGTGCCAAGGGTTCACAGCTAATGATAAAAAAGCGTATTAGTGCACAGCATGTAAACATATAGATTCAATGAAAACAGATCAGAGATAAGAGGGTGCCATACCATGGAGGGCTTTGAATGCGATTCAGCAAAATTGACTTCTGTTCTAAATGTACTGACCAGCTTTCGGATTCTGTGAATGAACTATCATAAAAGGAAGCCTAGTGGCTGATTCTTGTGCAAAAGCAGTGTAACATACATTCTAGTGGCATATCATCACATGTGGGAGGACTGCTCTATTACTATTTTAATAAGAACCAAACATCATATCATGATTTAAGTCACCTGACGCACACATTTGTCATCTGAACAGAAAGACAGTTATAATTAAAAACAAAAAGAGGCTAAATACTGTTTATACGTCAAATACCGAAAGCACAATGACGCAGTTGTTGGCAGACAGGTGGCACGATTGGACGTGAATGTGGGCCAGTGTTAAGAGAGGAGACTATGCATTTACATTTTCTGCAACTGTCTCACACGGATTGCGCCACTGCCACACCCCTTTAGGAGACTAGTGGCGTGGCAGGCCAGAAAGTAAACACACATAATTATTATCTAATTCGACCTAAATAAAGTAAAAATTGGAACCATGTCTCTCATCTCTCTAATGTGAAGACATTAGAGAAAACACGTCGGTTTGCTATCCTGGCTCCAAAATGGTGGAATGAGCTCCCCATTGACATCAGGACAGCAGAAAGCTTACACATCTTCCGGCGCAGACTGAAAACTCATCTCTTTCGACTCCACTTTGAGCAATAACATTACTAACAAAGCACTTACTAACAAAGGACTGGCTTATCTAAAGCCAGTTGAGTAGCACTTGAAATGTGTTGGCTCTATGAAACCTGATGTACTTATAGGATTCTGTTTTCTTCAAGTTTGTATCTTCTTGGTCGAATGCACTTATTGTAAGTCGCTTTGGATAAAAGCGTCAGCTAAATCCAATGTAATGTAAAGACACTAAACCGAAGTCGACACAAATCCGTCGCAGGAAAAAGAACTCTCGCGAGATTTGGGGAGACAGAGCGTTCATTTTATTTAAATGTCGGCAGCGAGTAATCATTTCAGACAGTACGTTGGAAAAACGCCCTGGTTCACTGAAATTCGGGAAAAGATGTTTTATCTGTGTTAATATCATGTTTTAAATATGAAACCATTAAACCTGGCCACTAATGAGACAGGAAGTATATTTATTTCCAACAATTCGGCCGATTGTAAATTCTTCACTTCAACATCTTGACTGTGCCGTCGAGTTACACTTAATTTACCGACACCACAGTTAAAACGACTTATTAATGACGAAGCTTGATTTACCAGCTTACACCGCAACATTTTTGTTTCACTATAAAAATGATGCGTCGTCTTTAAAGAGTAAGCGGTTAAAAAACGTTAAGCTGGTTACGTTTTCTCATGATGACAGACGTTCAGAGCGCTGCATTTGGTTAAATACAAATCCTCTAAGTGGAGAAAAGCTGTACTATCGTACTCACCATTTTTCTGAAGATGTGAAGACAGAGGGTTTCGATAAAGAAGAGGAAAAGGCAAAGTTATCTCTCACAGCAGGGCCTGTATGAGTCCAGGGTAAGAAGTAACAGGTGTATTTTTTCTAGGCGGGGCTATTTATACTATCTTACGCGGCGCAATTGCTGCGGAATCTGATTGGATGAAAAGACAAGTGGGTCCACTTCTGATTGGTTGAATTCTTTAGAATTTTTTTTAAAGAAACTTTATTGAGCACATGGAAAACAAGAACACTGGCTCACAAAATTCCTGTTCAAAGCGGAATCACCCCACCTAAGAACGTCAGTCCCATGGATGTACTGGGAAAACGTGGTTATTGCTGAACATTAATAAATAGACGTAGTAGAATAATACAACACATGCATATTACTATACAAGAACGTTTAGCAAATAAGATAATAAGAAAAAAAGATTGGCATATTCCGACTTTTGACGTTCATATTTGAATTACGATAAATATATATATATATATTTAAGTCATTTTCAAACATATCTTTGTCTGACATGAGTAATATTGTCATTCTTTATTGGTAAATATCATTCATTGTATCAACTGCAGGAAATAGTAAGCCCTCCTTTTATATTCTTTATAACTGACTCTGACAATAGCTTGTTTATTATTGTTTTAAATTATGCAATTTTTTTCTCTTTTGTATCTTTATGCGTAGTTATAAAGAACGTAACTATTTATTTCAATGTAAGATTTTTTATTAAATCTCAATTGGTATTATGCATTATGTAATTTGTGTTGCTGCACTATCAGGTCCAGAGGGCACCACTGCACTACTTCATCACAACATTGCATCTTTACCTTTGCCCTCTTGCTCGATAAAGTATTGTGGGTCAGAATAGCCATATACATATGCTGGCTTCCATACTGCAATATGCAGTAGGGCAGACTTGTAGGTTTTGCTTAATGACTTAATCTGTTTCTGGCATACCAAATAGTACAGTTGTATGGGTAAGGGAACCCACAGTAATCTCATTGTTCTCCATTGTATTCTGTCCAGTTTTTGTGTAGTACTTTTAACTGCTGCTTAATAAAGCATGTAATCATAATCCATCCTCATCACAGCCCAGTATATGTGTAATGATGTGTTTTTAAAAGCTTACCATTCAAGACCAAAGAAACACCTTACAAAATAAAGCACATTTAATGTCAATATTATATATATATACTGTATATAATATAATTTCTCCTGTACATCAACCAACCAATATATTTAAATAGGATTATTCGATCCATGGACTTGGTTTGTAGTGATAACCCCTGGCAATGACCTTATATTTCATTTTAGTGACCAGCACACATTATGATTTTCCTCTACTGACATTTTGAATCCACAACTCTATATTGATGATTGCTTTCTGTTTACATTTGAATACACAGGGGCAATCCATCATCTGCGTTTACACATCACATACATGTTCGGAACATGATGTTCCTGTTTTATTTTAATCAAAAAGTACTTTTAGAGCATCTTCAGGGCAAGCAGCACTACGTCACATCCTGCCCAAAATGACGGCCCCGCCCACTGAAGAGTGAAAACAAAGCATCAGCGCATCATGTCTAAAAGCTGATATGCACTTAGAAAACTCTGTCAGATCAACATTGAGGGCACCATCAAAACGAAGGGAGGCAGTGATGACCACCACACACTGGATGAACTGGCTTCTGACACATTTGGGTGACAAATGGCGAATGGCATGATCATTGTATCCATGGGAGTAAATGAACAGCTAATTAAAACGCGGCAAAAAATAGTGAGTTAGGGGGAAACCAAAATCCTAAATCACAAAGCAAGTCCACAGTCCACTGATAAAACCTGAGCGATCGCACACAAACTGAAATGCGCGATCGCACACAAGCGCGCGCTCAGGTGCAAATGGTCTTTCACCAGTTAAAATGAAACACCAACAAACAGCTGCATGACAGATGCGGGTGACATAATCATAGGCGTCAGTTGCACTGGGGACATGTCCCCACCAGGCACGTGCACATATGACATCAAAGTGGGTTTGAGCCCCTGCCCTTTTTCTTCCTCCAGAGAAAGTGCCCTTTTGTTACCCTTTTTTTTTTTTTTTTAAATAAATGAATCTACTGCTGTTTGCGCACAGTTTCCCTTTCCAAAAATATATTGATTGAATACAAAATAAAAATATCAGGTCGGGAGATTAGACTGTGAAGTTCCTATGCTCTCTCTACCCTCCCTCCCTCCACGTCTCGCGCACAGCGGTGCGGACATCGGCAGTCACTTCAGACAGACAGGTAGCAGCACCTCCCACTTTACAATCCCTTCAGACAGACAGGTAGCAGCACCTCCCACTGTACAGTCCCTTCAGACAGACAGGTAGCAGCACCTCCCACTTTACAATCCCTTCAGACAGACAGGTAGCAGCACCTCCCACTTTACAGTCCCTTCAGACAGACAGGTAGCAGCACCTCCCACCTTACAGTCCCTTCAGACAGACAGGTAGCAGCACCTCCCACTTTACAGTCCCTTCAGACAGACAGGTAGCAGCACCTCCCACCTTACAGTCCCTTCAGACAGACAGGTAGCAGCACCTCCCACTTTACTGTCCCTTCAGACAGACAGGTAGCAGCACCTCCCACCTTGCAGTCCCTTCCGCTAACTTGTGTAATAAAGAAAAACAAAGGGCGACACCATCTGGTCACAACTTTAAATATTTGACCATGTTTATGTGCAAATGAAGAACTCTCACTGGTGCAGAACCTTTTTCCTTAAGTGAGACTCTTTTCTGACTTTATGGGTATTTCACTTTATATTAAAGGTGGGGTAGGTCATTTTGGAGAAACCAGCTCGAGTGCGCTGGAATTTGAAAATACACAGCCGGAAAAAATCTGCCACTTCCTTACAGAGCCCCTCCTCCAACACACACGAACGTGCACATGACCAATGAGGGCACGAGATAAGTTTGTGCACAGATGGAAGGCTGACAGGCAGGTAGGCCATCCAGTTATTTTAGCCGGGCCGGCTCAGATGAATGGTCGTGCTTTTTTCAGTACTACGGCTTCCACAGATGACATTTTTGTATGGATTTTTTGTAAAAGCACTTAAGATATTCATTGCTATCGGGATGTTAAGAGCATTCCATGGAATATAACAAGTGTATCTCGAGCCGGTTTCTCAAACTTACCTACCCCACCTTTAAATACATAACAATAAGAGTGCAGAACATCTAATACACTTCACTATGAATCCAGAACAATACAACTGCAGGAGTATGGATAAAGCCAGATGTTTGCATGCATTTTGAGCCGATTTGGGCAGAATCCAGCAGAGTGGATCGTGCTGTTCATCCTATGTAATCTATATGTATAGAAAAAAAGTCTAAATATTTAAGATAAAG